CGGCCCGCATAATCTCTTCTGACACACTGACAGTGACAAATACCGTCTCGGTATAGCTTCAGCGAATCCACGCGCACAAGAAGCTGGCTATTCGTTCTTGAAAAATCAGACGGTTTCATTTGATACCAATTGCTTCCAAAAGCCATTGGACACCACCAACGCTGGAAGTCTGTTGACATGTGCGCGCGCATGTGGTCAGCATGTTACTACGTGTGGGAGAGATTATGGCACAACGCACGTGTTAGATCAACGCAAGTGCACCGCATGACAATCAGACATGGCAAATTACGTTGAACACGTGCGAGGAACCCTTAGCGCAAGCACCGTTCGGATAGTAACATGGAGGGGAGGGACAGTCATGGCCTTCTTGGCCGCTGGCAAGATGTGCTGATCCCAGTCTCGCTCCTCAGCAAGACAAAGACAGCTTCGACCCAACATCCCTTTCACGTCTACCATAGATATGACAACGGGAAGACAAATATATAGAGTCAGAAGGCAAACAGGTAAGACGAGCAATGCAAGGAAAGGTAAGCAGGGTAGCGGGGGGAGAAAAGAAAGAGCAAGTAATGGACATAACCAAACGCACAGAAGGACGAATAAAGCAATAACAACGGAGATCGAGAAGAGCGAGGTCTCGCTTCTCCGTGGATGCGGCGTGGCAGACAGCCTGATCGAGAACCCCTCTCCTCTCGTCTGAGCTGCTCGCAAAGGGTAAGAGATGAGGAAGAAGATAACAGGGAGGAGGAGGCGCAGGGGAACTGACACTGCAGTGGAGAGGCACTGCACTGAAGCCTAAGCGAGCTGTGCTTGTGTCGGCAACGGAGTGTGCGATGCCCTCTCTGGCTTACCGCTCGGCAGCATAACAGAACACTCTGACTGGCACGTGCAAGTCACCCATACAATCGTGTACGAAAGTAGGCACCAGCATAGTGCCTACGTAGATACACCCACTTCCTGCACACAAATATTTTCATGCGCGTCCATGCATGCGTGTACATACAGAACACGCAACATGCACACACATACATGTTTGCTTTTAGATGCACATGCATACACACATCTATACATAGAAATGCCATATGCTGATATTCGCACCCACACATGGACAGACATTACACGTCTGCGCAATCGAAGGCCAAAATCCTGGAGAAGCCGCTCGGACTCAACGGTGATATCCACGGCCACCTCCGGTCGCGCTTGCATAAAGCGAATGGAGATGCGGAACTCCCCCAAACATGAACTCCGGTTTCACGCCAAACATGAAGTAGTTGTGGACATGGTATGAACACGTACTGAGGCCTCCTAGGACATGGCAAGGTCTGGCGGCCTGGCCGCTGAGGGAGGCGCTCGCATGCAAGGGCACAATTCAAGGCTTGAATTTAAGGCCTGCGCAGGCACACAAGCCCTGGCCTACCAATATATCAAAGCGAAGAGAGCCAGCGGGCACCCAGCTTGCTCGCAGGCCTCCTGGACTGAGAGCTGCTCTTCGACGCGCAGGAGTGCTACGGCAAGCTCGTGTCGTGCCGACTTGCGCGTTGGCTTCTGACTCCGCGTGGGGCGAACACATAGGAAGGAGGAGGAGGAGGAGAAGGAGAAGGAGGAAGATGGAGAGGGGGAAGGGGAGGAGGAGGAGAGAAGAGGAGGGAGGAGGAAGGAGGAGGAGGAGGAGGAGGAGGAGGGAGAGGGGGAGGGGAGGGGGAGGAGAGAAGAGGAGGGAGGAGAAGGGAGGAGGAGGAGGAGGAGGAGGAGGAGGAGGAGGAGAAAAGGAGGAGGGAGGAGGAGGGAGGAGGAGAAGGAACGATTGCCGTTTTCCGACAGCGCCGATCGCTCGAGATCCGCCGATTTCCCAGGCCGCCGTCGGCCTTCGACCGGTTTCGCCTGGTCGGAGAGGCAGCGACTCAACGGAGGCGGGACAGGGCAAGGCGCAGCTGGCCAGGAGTACATGGGGCGCACAGAGATCGGGGAGACGTAGGACTCGGGTACGGGGGAAGCGGGTTGGCCTGACGGGGCCATCATGAAAATGACGAGGCCTGGTCTGAAATTTGACGAGAGCTCCCGCTGCACACATCCCACGAAAACAGGCCCGTCGAAATCCAGGACGCGCTGATAAAAAAGCGTCGGCTAACCCGAGTCCCGGCGTACTCAAGTCTTACGTTTCCCCGAACTAATCCGCCGACCCTGTCGGCGTGTGTGAGGGGCTGTGCCGTTCGTCGTTGTCGTCGTCGTCGTCGTTGCAGTGCTCTAGCGGGCTTGAGGGAAATCGACCCATGTCGTAACCACGTCAGAGGGAAACCCCTTCCCTTTGCCCCTTCCCCGGCGGGGGGGGGACCCGGAGGGGTCCCTAGAGGGAGTCCCGGGGGGAGTCCCCGGGAGGGGGCGCCACCCAAATACGCTTGCACTCCACGCGCGTCCAGCGCGGTCCCCGCGCGGATCCGGAACCCCGCGCGGCTTCCTGGTTTTCAAAAGGGCCCCTGGAGGCCGAAAATGACGAAATACTGAACATGTAGAACAACTCCCCCTCCCCCTCCTCCTCCTCCTCCTCCTCCTCCTCCTCCTCCTCCTCCTCCTCCTTCTCTTCCTCCTCCTCCTCCTCCTCCTCCTCCTCCTCACTCTGCGAAATAGTATGGAATGTATGTATGCTTCTGTATCGGCTGGCGCCCGCGATGGAACAGAAAATATGTACATGTTTCCCTTGTATTCGTCAGACTGTAGCTCCATCAGCGGGAGCATCCGGGTTCATGTGGGTAGCGTTGCATCCAAACCTAAGCCTTTGAAATCATCTCCACAATCGTGGTTTCCGATCTCGACGTGCTTCTTGATTTTGCGTGGCTGTATTCCGGCTTCTATCTGCTTGGAATTTCGCCTTTTGCTTGGTCCGGTCTTCGGTCGGGAACGCTGTGAGTGGGCCAACTGCGCGCCCAAAACTCAGGAGGGAGGAGAAACGATTATCTATGACGACGAGGTGTTTCTCCTTTGGGCGTTTCCGCCTGTGCTCGACTCCGAGCAGGTTTGAATCGTCTGGCTGCCAGTACAGTCGTGTAGTAGTGTTACGTACAACAAGTGGTAATTCGGTATGCCCATCGTGTCCAATTGGCTGGTATTTATCTCTGGTGTCTTGTACGACGATATCCTCGTCCCAGTCAACTGCTACACGTCGCACCACTGTGCCCCATTAGGGTCTATCCGGTGCCATCGTCACGCAATGTTTGACGTTTCTGTCAGTGCGCGTATACGTAGGTGCGCGTTGGGGTGTGCGCGCGAGGAGGAGGAGGAGGAGGAGGAGGAGGAGGAGGAGGAGGAGGAGGAGGAGGAGGAGGGAGGGAGGTGGCCGTCCTCTTCAGAACACAACTGAGTCGTCTCGACTGGCCCCCCTCCTCAGCCCCGACGTCGTGACTTCGTTCTCAACACTGACCCCTGGAGGGCTCGACCCCATTCCCCGCGACAGGCTTTCCATCCTGGGCCGCTGTTTGTCGACCCCAGGGCCCAGCGAGGGCCCTGAAAGGCAACACATATATATATATATATATATACATAAGTATATACACACACCCCTTTTTTTCAAACAGTTGTTTACTAATAAATACGTCGTGTTTTGTTCACGACGCGGGGGGGTCTGGGCTCTGAGGGGGGGCAAACAGAGGACTTGAGATCCGATGTTCGGGGAGAATGCAACATCGCGAAAAATTGCCACCGGAGCCCTCGACCCCACCGCTCAGCTGCTTTTTCCGTATCCGATCGGCGTGTGAGGGCCCCAGAACGCGAATCTAAGCGAACTGTCGCCCGGTGTGAACAAGAAGCAACGCCCAGATCTCGGAAGGCGGTGGCCTCGTCCACCGAGCGTTTCTCGCACGCTCCCGCGCGCCGCGCCAGCAGCTGCGCGACCTCGTCGCCCGCCTCCTTGCGTGAGGGGCAACGAGAAGGGGGTTGGCATAGGGAGGGATGATTCGACCTCGCACGGCCGATACATCGCCCACGCATCGTCGACACATCGTCGATGCAGGCCGCCCCATGCATCGTCTATACATCCTCAATACATCGCCCTGATATCAACGATGCGCCCTCGATGTACCAACCCTGGACATGCGATGTCCTGTTTTGTTCAGCACAACGTCCCCGGAAATCCCGGCCCTTTCCTGCGGGCAATAGTTATATCCACATCCAGTTCGATCATCCAGTGCGTCTTGGAGTCTTGGGCTCTCTTCCCCAGAAACAGTAGACGCACTGGATATGAATAAACATCTGGCCCCAAGAGGCTTGATTTTATCCATATCCAGTGCGCCTCGGCGTTGCGGCACCTCTTCCCGAAAAGTCCAAAACGCTCTGGATATGGATATAAGTACTGCCCGCATTTCCCCGAGTCCGCTTTTTCATCCCGAACGGTCTTCTGACCGCCCCGGGCCCCGGCGACGGGCCCCCAGAGGCCGAAAACGGCCAAAAACCTGTCGTCCTATCTTCTGACGACGCGACCATGTCTGGGACCCGTCGAGGTCGATGCGTCCCCCCTCTGGTGCCCATCCCCCCGGTCCCCTCCTCCTCCTCCTCCTCCTCCTCCTCCTCCTCCTCTTCCTCTTCTTCTTCTTTCTCTTCTTCTTCCTCTTCTTCCTCCTCCTCCTCCTCCTCCTCCTCCTCCTCCCTCCTCCTCCTCCTCCTCCCCCCCCTCCCCCCCTGTTGTTGCCCCCGGCTGCGGGGCCGCCGGGCTCGTGCCACCGCTCCCCGCGGGCGTGGAGCCGGCGGCCTGGGCCCCCCGCGGCGGCGGCGCGCCAGAGGGTGGCCCAGGATTCGGAGGCAACTGCTGGGAGGTCTTTCTCGGAAATAATAAAGAGGATGAAGCCCCATTGGGGGGCTACTACGCCGGATTAGGCCGCGGACCAAGTGGGACTAAGCAGGACTCAGCAGGATTGGTCGGGAATGAGCTAGATTGGGCCAGATTTCGGACCAGGGCAAAATCAGAATTTGACCTCCCCGGAGTTGCATCCGAACCAGGACGTCGGCAAGGCGGCCCCCAGGTGCACGCCCAGACAAAATGGCGTCGCGAAAAATCGGGACGGGGCGTTTCGCAGAAGAACTCGCAGCATGGATCCAGGGCTGCTGAGGTCACGAGCGGCGATCACATCGCTATCCACGCCCTCGCGGCCTGGCCCGTGGATACGCTGTGGTATGGCTACGTTCCGCGCGGGGCATCCGCAAAAGAAACGCTCCGTACCTATGGGGTCGCGGCCCAGGGGCCCAGCCCACGAGGCCGTGGGTTACCGCCCACGATAAGAAGGCCTCTGAGAAGGCGGAATGGGGTTCCAAGAATCCCCTACCCGTCGCTGGCAAACGACGACGGCGAGCACGGGTGCCAGAAGACGAAGACGACGACGACGATGACGACGACGACGACGACGGCGGCGGCGACGACGACGACGACGAGCACGGGTGCCAGAAGATCAAGACGACGACGACGACGACGACGACGACGACGACGACGACGACGACGACGACGACGACGACGACGACGACGACGAGGGTGACGACGACGACGACGACGGCGACCCCCCCCCCCCCCATGCGCGCCGCGGGGTCGCGGCCAGCGGCCCGGGCCAGTGGTGGCCCCGCCCCTCTGAGGGGCGGCGGGGGCCGAGCTGGAAAACCGTGGGGCAAAAAGAGCAGACAGCCACGGGCATCAGATGCCAGCCAGCACGGAGCGCCTGTCGGAGGAGGGCCAGTCGAGACCACGGCGGTGATCCTGGCGCGCGTCTTTCTTGGGCCTCCTCGAGGCCTCTCGTCGCCACGGCTGGACTCGCGTCCTAAAACGTCAAGATTTTTTGTCCTGACAAAGACCAGCCGCACGCGTACTGGCCAGAGGTTTGAAAAACGCGCAATAGAGGTCTGGGGACCGATTTTGAACCGTTCTGGGCCCGGCGGAAGGGCTGCCATTGTCTCGACTGGCCCTCCACTGACCTTGTTGCCCCTGGGACTCTGTGTGCGGTTTGGCCTTCTTCCTTCACGCTCGCTCGCCCAGCGCAGCCACCCATTCGCGAGGCCGTGTGAAGTTCACGGCACCCTACAGCCAACTCTAGCTCCCGCTAACCACGGGGACGTTGCATGACCGGCGGAGGAAGAAGTGTGTCTGTGAGTGTGTGTGTGTGTGTGTCCGTGTGTGTGTCCGTGTCCGTGTCCGTGTCCGTGTCCGTGTCCGTGTCCGTGTGTGTGTGTGTGTCCGTGTCCGTGTCCGTGTCCGTGTCCGTGTCCGTGTCCGTGTCCGTGTCCGTGTCCGTGTCCGTGTCCGTGTCCGTGTGTGTGTGCGTGTGCGTGTGCGTGTGCGTGTGTGTGTGCGTGTGCGTGTGTGTGTGTGTGTCGTGCTCGGGCGGGCGTAGCCGCGCGCGCGCGGTTGCTGCTTTTCGACCTCCTACGGCCTTTCGCTGCGCGCAGGGCCGCGGCGCCAAAATGTGTGTGTGTGTGTGGCCAGTTTGGCGTTTTTCCCTGCGCGTCGGCTCGCCTTGCGCGGCTCCCAACCTGCAGCGCCTGGTGGAATACATGCAAAAGTTTCTGCCCGGTCACCACACGCTGCGGCGGCAGCACCTGGCAAGCGCAAGAGAAATGCGCTGATCGTCTTGGGGCCCTGCACTTCCGAGGGTAGGGCCACCACGGCGGGACGGCAAGTCGAAGGCGCCCAGGTTCCACTCCGGCCCACCGCCGCTATCACCCATTGTCCTCAGCCCGCCCACACTCGTTTTCCTCTCCCTCCGAGGCTTCGCAAAAACCAATGCGCACGACAGCAATGCCCGCGTTAACGTGGGGGCGCTGTGCCTCTTCGACTCTTAGTCCATATTTGACACACTCCGTCTACCTTCTTTTTTTCCTTCACGGACGCCGCAAGGGCATCCTGCTTTCACGCAGTCTTCGAGGAGCCTCGCCCCACGAGGTTCACTGACGCACGAGATGGCCCTCAGGTGGAGTACAAACGAAGTTCAAGCATGCAGGACCATGAATGACCACGCATCCTGCCGAGAACGAGTGCCCTAGAGATCCATCACTACGCCTGGGCGTACAAAGCTTTGGCCTTGGCGTAGAGTGCTTTGCCCTCCGGCTTCTTGCCGTTGACAGCCACGAAGCCCTTCAGGCCGAGTGCCGACCTGGCCTTCGTTACGCACTCGGTCCACTTCTTCAACCCAGCATAGTTCTTCTTGCCAGCCGCATGCTGTTTCTTCGACACGACCTTGCCGCGCTTATTCTTCATGAGCTTGTCCTTAGTGAGGCCCCCAGAAGTCTTCATCTTTGCGCCCTTCAGCACCTGGCTCTTGGCCAGCGAGCCCTTGGCGATGATGCTCTTCTTCTTCTTCATCGTGGCCTTCATACCCGTCTTCATCGCGGTCTTCATGCCGGTCTTCATCGCGGTCTTCATGGGCAGCGCCATGGCTCGCAGGAACGTTCAGGGACAAAGCTGGGCAGGGGTGGCTCTGCGCGGGATCGCGCGGGCCTCTCAATGACGAAAATACTTTGAGCCAAACTGGCTACGGATAGTTGACACACTCCGTTTATCTGTATACCGTATCCGCCCTCCTATGCGCTTCAGCTATCGTCTGTCATCTCTGCTTTCGAGCCTACTCAGGGCTGATCCAGACTGGCCCACCGCTTGAGCTGCACCAGCCAGCAAGCTGTGCTAATTTCGGCTGAGTATGAACTATTACGCCTTCATATCCCTCAAACGTCACGCACCAGCCAACAACTCTCCTCCGTGTACCAAAACCCTCCTGGCTGCATCCTCCATCCTGCATCCTAGGTCAACCCATCCCCTCATGCCCTCCTGTCCCTTCTCCCCCTCTCCTACTTTCTCGCACCATTTCCTCCTCCCAGCATCCCCCCACCCATGACCCCCTAGTGATCGCCCACTCCCACGTCCCATCGACTGATAGCCGCTAGATCTCAACATATGCCAGATGTTGGACGAGGCAAGTCAGAGATGGGACGCGGCGACTTGGCTCCGAGGCGAGCGGCGCACAACCTCCCCGCCCATCCCCACCACCGATTTGGAAATGGTACACAGGTATCACCTATGAGAGCGACAATGACGGAGCACAGCTACAGTAATAATGGCCGTGGCAAATCTAGACGTGCGCAGTAAGACTGTGCTGCTCCGAAGCTCAAACGACAGACTTAGGCGCAGCCACGTCTCAGACCATGGTCATTGTTTTGTCCCGCGCGTTTGTCTGAAAGCGAGAACGAACGAGGACGGTCCGAAGCGAGCACCCGATGATCGCCCCGCATGTGCGTGAAGTCAGCAACTGAGGCTGGGGTATCCGTAGGGAGAAGGTCTCAAGCCATGAGCATGCCCAAGCGGCCCTGCTCGCTGCTGGTCGTTCAGGAAGCGCGGGTTTCAGACGCCAGAGCGGCACCAAATCGTGGTGGCGCTCGGCCTCACTCCTTGCTGACTCTCGGCCAGGGGTGGTGCTCTGGCGGGGCAGCCCTCTCACACTCCAAATCCGAGTTCAGGCGTTTCTATGCCCAAATGAATGTGTGTCCCGTTGAAAATTTCTGTGTCCACATGGGCTCTTTCTGTGTCCCGTTCAGGGGATCCGTGTCCCAAGAGCCCTCTCGGGCCTCTGAGTAGTAACAGTAGTTGCTGTTGTAAAAGGAACAATAATGATAATACGAATGGCCGTGTTGCTACACATATGTACGCGTGCCAGTCACATACCCCATATACATGATGCCGCATGAACACATGGTGGCGGACACATAACGTCCAAAATGGCCCGCGCCGGCTTGACTCTGTATTAAAACATGTGCCTTGTTTGGCCACCATTCGATTTCCAACTCAACATAGGCATCGCGCCATCGTTGTCGCCCCCCCTCATTTCCCCTCTTCCGCCTTCCCCTGGTCCTCCTGCTCCAGCTCATGCTGCTGCTGCTGCTGTTCGTCTTGGTCCTCCTCCTTCTTCATCCTCATCCTGTGCCTCCTGCTCACCCTCCTGCTCTTCCGCCATCTCCTGATCCGCAGCTCCCCTGTCGTCCGATCGCTCATCACACGATGTGGTCCTCTTCGGTGCTCCAGGTCCGCTATGACAAGCGTCGGCGGGTTGAGAAACACAGCGCAATGGGAAGGGATGGGTGGGAGGGGTAGGATGTCCGATACCCCACCTAGCTCGCCCTCATCTCGCCCACCCTCCGTCCTTCCTCGTCGTCATCTGTCTATACTGGCGGGACCTACCTCCTTCCGCACTGTACTCCTCCTCGTTGGCTGCTCCGTCCGTCATCTGCTTCCTCCCTCTTCCCTCTTTGCCCCCCCTCCTCCTCCTCCTCCTCCTCCTCCTCCTCCTCCTCCTCCGCCTCCTCCTCCTCCTCCTCCTCCCACTCCCCGATGGCGAAGGATCCTTGTAGATGCGCAGGTCGGCCTTGCCGAACGCAGTCGGCACCTGCACCAGCACAATCTCGGGGCACTGCCTCTTCGCCTGCGCAAGAGGACGCCGCACAAGGCCACGCACGCTCGGCGTGCGCGAGAAGACGGACGCACGCACGCACGCACGACCCTCCAATGTCCTGAACAGAAGGCAGGGCGCCCGCTGTCTGCTCCGTGCTTCAGCACTCGAGGGCTGGTGCTCGGGGCTCACAACACATCGCGAACTCCAGACCCACGCTTGGAAGAAAGATTCGGTCAAAAGCCCTGGAGCCCCTCGCACAAACACAACCACGAAATTGGAGGTCTTGGGTGGAGGGGGGGGGTGACCCAGAATTTCGGCAAGCCTCAGGCATGAAGCCCGAAAGGCTGCTCCCCATGATGCCGACACGGAAGAACTTGTGAAGAGATGGTTTGGCGGACGGGCGTAATATTAGATCGGGCATGTCTCCCTACAGGCGGATTTTGGAGGAAAAATTAAACATGGCCCAACAAGACTCCAAACATGGTCAGAAATAGTCAACACACTGCCCCCATGTTTTTACAATGTTTGAATAGTCCTCCTGTAGAGGGACAGGCCCGACTTAAGCGCCGTAGCGGCTAACTTGGCGGCCTCCCCCTTCCCGAGGGCAGCCTGGCCATTACTGCATCGCGTCCGTGTCCAACTCAGCTCGGGCCGAGCGGGAACAATGAAAGGGCCCTGGGACACACAAATAAACAGACACAAATAACCGGATTCCCCGTAGTTTCCCATTGTTTCTGTGTTTATGTCTCCACCCCACTTCCCATATTTTCCCATCGCTTCTCTGGGGAATCGACGGCTAATTGTGTCTGTGAATGTTTGTCCCCTCCTGAAGCCAACGGAGCAAGACGGAGGAAGGCATGGAGGGCTGCTGCTGCTGGTGGCGTCCGTGCTGCTCCCTGCCTGTCTTCCCCTCTGCCTCCCGGGAGGGGGGGGCACAAGGGGGAAAGAGGAGGGAGGACACCGCGGGAGGATAGGCTCACGCGGGAGGAGGGAGAAAGAGGAGGGATGACGAGGAGGGGGGCATGAGGAGGGAGAGCATCGGAGAGTGGAAGGGGGGGGGGGGGACAGGGGAGGATGGGAGGAGGGAGCCAGCAGGGGCGAGGAGTGAGAGCGAGGTCCTCGAGCCGCACCACGAGTGGCACGCCACGAGAATGTTGAGGATGATGAAGATACGGTCGGGAACTTTGAGAGCAGCCTAATGAAGCGTGGCTCCAGTAACCCTGGCCGTGGCAAAGATATACGAACGCCGTCAGACCGTGCTGCGCCCCAACTCAAAAACGACGGAGTTGGCGCAGGCAGTCTACAAATCCCAGGACATGGATATGCTCAGGTGCATCAGTCGGGAAGCCTTTGCTTACCGTGTCGCTGCGGCGGCCCCAGCGAAACGCTATGCCATGCGAGCTAATAGCGCGTCGCTCCGCTCCGCGGGGCGGGAGGCCAGGAAAAGCTCGGGACGTTGACGCCTGGGGACCGAGACATTGTCAGCGTGCCGATACGCAGCGCGGTAAGCCAGAACTGGCGGCGCGATACGCTCAGCAAAAGTTCCCGATCGTGATGAGGATGAAGAGACGGAGAATGGGAGGGCGACGACTGGAGAAACGAAACAAAGCAGAAATAGAGTTTCTCTGAGGTGCAAGAGGATTTCTTGGATCGGCGCAGGGCCCCCCCTGGCAGCGCCTCTGGCGCCGCCCATGGCGCACTCAGGCCGAGAGGGCGAGAGGGGTGAGGTGAATGCCCCCGAGATCGGACACTAATCGAGAGGAAGCGCGACCGGAGCTCTGACCCCATCTTGCTGGGGCATTTTCCGAGCCAGATCGATCTGTGCGGGTCTTGGGGCCTGGAGACGAGCGACAACGCCCAGCTACAGAAAATTGCAATGCCCCGATCTCACTGGGGGGAGGAGGGTCCGCTCGCCTCGTTGCCGCCTGAACTTTCGCCAAGTTGCCGCCCGTTGCTGTTTCGTTGCCGTCTCTAGATTGAACTATGTGTGTATATATATATGTATATATAATATATACATGCGTGTGTGTGTTGAAAATGGCTATATCCCCCCAGGATTACCCGCCCGCCGTCTGTATTGCAAATTACAAATGATTATGCCCCATCGTCCATCCTGAATGTGAATCTGCACCATCCCAGCCCAACCGGTATCGACCCCCCCCCCATCTGCGTAACAAATTACAATGCGCGCGCACACCTCGTTTATCAACACTCCGCAGTTTTCGAACACCCCTTGCAAACAATGGGATGAGGTGCACACGCGCGTGTCGTCGCGTGCGCATGCCGAGAACCTTCAAAATCCCTAAGTGTCGAGTGGATTTCAAAGCCGGCTGTCCCAAACACACTAAAACAACACATGGTTCTGCACCATCGTTCTTCGGAAAAAAAAACCTGTGCAGGCGTTCTTGCGACTCCCACCGGCCCTCTGGGCGCACGTGGTCTAGAGCGTTTCCTTTTCCAGCCTCCTTCCGTTCCCTGCTCGGGAGGTTTACCTCCCCTTCCCCCTCCCTGGGTCTGGGCTCTCCCGCGAAGGGTTAGAGCGTCCAATATGGCCCAAGATAGCCTCGAGAGGGCTTTAGCTAGCCAAAGATGACCTCAAGACTTCTCAAGATTGCCTCCAACACGCATCCAAGAGGCCTCAAGACGGCCCCAAGACGGTTTTAAGTGCCCTCCGAGCCCTCCAAGGATCCCCCCAAGAGGCCAAAATGGGTTCAAAACCTCAGGAATTGTTAGGTTTTTTGCATTTTCGCTTCCGATGGGCTCTTCAGGCGTCAAGATGGCCCCAATGGCCCAACATAGCCCCAAGAGAGGCCCTAGAGGGTCCCAAGACGGCCCCAAGACCGCCCAAGAGCGCCCCAAGAGCGGTCCAAGAGGGCCCCAAGACACCCCTTTTGGGCCTCCGAGGGGGGGGCGCAAGTTTAAGACCCCCCTCTTTTTGAGCGAAGGGGCCCAAGACGGTCTCAAGAGGCCTCCCAGACCCCCCAAAAGAGCCCCAAGAGGGCCCTAAGACTCCCTGAAAAAGCTCCAAGAAGGTCCCAAGAAGGCCCCCAGAGGACCCCAAGAGGACCCCAAGATGGCGCCCAAATAGCATTACGAATCTTCGAAGAACCCCTCACCCCGACATATGCCCAAAGCCCGACTT